GAAGAAGAAGAAAAGACTCACACACAAACTAAAATACTCATCATGAGTGAACTTGGATGACCTATGATGGCTGTAGTTAATGAGCTCGTTTTGTGGTTGAGATTAGGAAGAGAAGTGAAAGAGAGAGAGATAAAAAAAAGAAAGAAAGAGAAGGAAAGTGAGTGGGGAAGAGAACGAGAGAAAACAAAGGAATCCAAGATCTGGGTTTTGCGTTCTTCGTCACGGAAGGCAATGGAGATTTAATTCAAAATCATTAAGTGTTACATTAGCCATGTTTAGGAACCTTCTAAACCTGATGCATTATGAAAAGGGATAGTTTTCATTTCTATCAATTTGCTGTTTCATTTTGTTTACAAGAAATTTGTGTCCATGTACAATGTACTACAAAATATAATGATAGCTGTTTAATACATATTACACTAGCATAAACAAAAAATACATTTCCAAGGAACCAACAAAAAATTGTGTCCTGCAACAATGACATCCGGAAAGCACAACAAAGAACATAATCCTATAGCAACCAAATCATGAACAACCTGACATTCATTAAAAGAATAAACAACAAATCCTACAAAAACAAAACCACACTTTGAATCCCCAAATAAAAAAGTCACATGAACTATACACCGAAAAAAACACATTCCTAAACCAACAAAAACACATCATAAATTCTACAACAAAGAAATTGAATGCTACGTTATTCCGGGGTTGGATTCTCTTTGACGAATGGACAGCGTCTGTCTCGCCCAGAGTGCCATCATGCAGAGGAGAGGAACGGCGTGAAACATGCTTCCAGAATATATAAGAAGAGAGAAAGAGAGGATAGATAGTTAAAGAGATAAGAAGAAAATAATGAATAGTGTTCAGATGTACCTTGCGAGAAACAGAAGGAAAGGGGTAAAGGGTGTGACGTAGGAGGAAAAGTAGAGAATATGGATAAGGATACACGTTATGTGAAGGAACAGGAAGGATGTACATTGACTAGCCACACCAAGTCTCGCCAGCGAACCATTCTGCATTTACCCATTTTTAAAAGATGTCCCTTTCTTTTCGTTCTTTATTTTTCTTTTTTGAGTTGCGTCTCAGATAAGGGCGTATCCCACCGCAAGGACCGTGTTGCCACTCCTTTAATGTACATAGACTTTTCGGCTTTTCACCCCCCCCCCCCCTCAGCAGAGAGCAAGATTGGCGAGGCTCATAAAAAGGACCATTTCGTTTGAGTCTCTTTTTCCATTATTGTGTATACGTCAGCTGCTGCTTGCACGACGCCCCCAAGAGTTTGTATCATAGTGAATTTTAGATTTAGAGATCGAACGGCGGTGAATAATCGTTCGTATTTTTTGGGTTTCTTTTCTTTCCATTTCCGATTCTAGAATGAAGCGAAGCATAATTCGTGGTTTCCCCTCGAGATGCACCTTTCCCCTCGTCCCTTGCGGCGAAGGGAGGCCTCGTTGGGGCCAAAGTCTGGATCAAGAGGTTTTTTAACACACATCCTAGAGGACGCTAGAGTGTCCGGTGCAACTAACACAGAGAGGGAAAGCTCGGCTACAGGTCCTCCTCGGTCAGGTCAGGTTTCGCCAGGTCAGGACCGAGAGACTAATATACTCTTACATACAAGTACTACCTGTGCACGTGGGATATCACTTGTCAACAGAGGTAGACTGAGGTTTTACAAACCTTTCTTTTTCCTTGCATTTCGGATATATACACCTAGAGACACATATCCATATTGAAGCGGTATATATTCGCTTATATTTACGTACTGTGTTTATTTTTACTTACCCCTAGACACTCAATCACCCGGAGACACAGTCTACCCTCGGTCACTCATCTCTCTAACTGCCTTCCTTAACAAAGCAGTTCAAACTCAACCTCCTCCGCTACAGTAACAGCTGGAGCTCAGCCTCTCCCCCACAACAACAGTTCCTTGCAAAAGAGAACGACCTCCCCGCCGTGTTAGCTCTAGTAACGCGTGTGTTTGAGCATAGAAAAGAAGTGCCATAATTATATCGTCTCCTTATAGAGACGCTGGAATGTTTTTATAGAGACTGTTTTTCTCTTGATTTTTTTTTTTTTTTTTCTGTTTGTCTCTTTCACAAACGTAAATAGACATTTTAAGATATTTTAGCGTCGGTTTAAGTTGATTTAGTAAGACTAACGCCATTGATGTAAAATTGCTCCGAATTGGCCTTCCACAAGGACAGCTTTGGAATCTATTTCATGGCAATATATAGTTATTCTTGTATTCTCCGGTCTGTACTAATACACATATGAGTGATATATTTAGGGGTTTATCAGTGATATCAATGTCATATTTTATAATACATACTAATCTCAGCACTGCCTAAAGGTTACTTCAGTGACACATGATAGATATATGCAACACCCTGAGTTCACTTCCAGAGAATTTTGTTCTTTGTGTAGAGCGCTATAAAGTCGAAAATTCCTGGGTGTGGTTTTTCGTTGAGATCTGCGAATGGCCCAAATTATATCGATGTTG